TACAACACACCTGTTGATACAACTGTGCATATACCTCTCTCATAGAAGAGAGGTATATGCACAAATCCTATTGGATTAAACACAGTTGCCATTGAAACCTTATTTCTACCTCTTGCTAAGAGCAGAGCTCTGTGGAAACCAGTTTATGGACTGCCATGATCATTCCTACCTTGCCATATTTGCATATTCATTTGTTGGCCATGTCAGCATGTTTGGATGTGAGATTTTTTGACTGAGCTGAAAAAAGTTGTCTACCACCTGCTAGAACCAAAAGCATCTTTCACACATCTTCATTTCATCTTCAACATTTGCTATTGTCCACAGACACTCTTATACATCTGAAGTTGCATGCAGTCCAGCAGATATGTTGATAAGCATGTTTGGAGGTGATTCAGGGGCAAATGGGTTTGTCACATCTTTGTTAGTAATATGTCCATCTCTATGAAACATGCCAATACCGAGGATAGAAATGCCAGATCCCTAGGAAAGGTATGCAGGAGGAAGGGGGTGGCTCCAGGCTCTCCTGGAAGGGCAGAACCTTGGGCAGAAGGGGCAAGAGGAATCTAGCCTCCTTACACCAACCATTCTGCACTGCCTGGACAATGTCACTAGGGGCTCTGGCAGCAATTTTAAAAAGCCTGGGACACCAGCCACTGCCACAGCTATGGTAGTGGCAACGGCAAACCTCTGGCTCTTTCAGAAAAAAAAAATTGCTCGGCCCCAGAGCAGCTGTCCCCTTCCCCTTCTGTCAGCAGCCCTGAAATTAGAGATGTACAGGAAAAGCATTGTCTTACCAGTTAATCAGTGCCTGACCCGAGCAGGCCCAGCAGTCTCTACCACAGCATAATACAGTGGGCCAGTTAACAGGTTAAACATGTAGTTTAAATGGCTCACATTTTAAATGGGATTTTACATCCATGTGCAAGTTTTTCCCAGGTGCAGAATATATATTTTCTGTGCACCAAAGCATGTGCAAAATGGTACCACCACTAGAAACACAAAAATCTAGCTGTGAGTGCTCTGCCAATCAGCTGGATGACACTAGAATCTCTTGAGTAGCCGCACAAGCACACAACTCACAAGGAACATTGCTTGCAAAAAAAATAGTTTCTCTGGGAAAGCAAAGAGAAGCTACACCACTGTTCACTCACCCTTTAATGGCAGTCCAGGATCATCTGTTCAGGCAGCTGGGATAAGTGGTAAATTGCTATGGAGAGGAAGTTCTAGGAATACCCCCGCTGCATGGGCAGGTGAGAAGAAAAACAGAGTTCCCTGACCCCTAAGAAGAACAGCAGTGTCTGGGTCAGATCAGTATTCCAAATCTTCCCCTGCTAGCAGAAAGTGCTGCATCACCAGGAGAGGGACCCGGTGGAGGGGGAGAATGTCTGGCTTGGCCGGTAGCGCTTCCCGCAGCTCCCATTGGCGAGGAACTGTGAACCACAGCCACTGGGACCTGCAAGTGGTCGTATCTGTTTCATTCACCTTTAGGTCTGCATCTGGTGGTCTGCCAGGAGCTAACCCTGACAAATTGCATCTGTCCTGCAGGCTGCTTATTGCTACTACTGGTGCACACTCTTTAGTGTGAGACTGACTTGTATTTCCAACTAAAACTGGCTGGCCAGAAGACTAATCACTTCAAGATACTTTGACAATTAAACACTAGACTAAGGTCTTGAAATTTACGAACAGTAAAAATTGTAGTCATTGTCCGTTTGCAGTGTTTCTGGAATGGTACCAAAAAACCTGACAGTCATTGTTTTCACCTCAACCACAAGCTTACAGCTTTACTTGACATTTTCACATCATACTTAGTTTGAATATAAAATAAATTTTCAAGTGATAAGACACAAGTGTGTAGGGTGAGTACATTAAATGCCCAAAATCGCATCCTTTATGGCGAACTGCTGCATGCCTATCTGGCAAGTTAACCCAGAGCAAATGTTCACATTTTAAATAAAGTACGTATAGTATTCTATGGAAATATTAGCACACATTTCACTACGTGTATGTGCAAACAGCACTTTCACATTAAATTTGGGTAAGACAATATTGATTAAGTTCCAAATCGGCTAGTCTTGAAAACCTGACTTTATAACCAAAATCAGAATTAAAACTGCCTCTCTACATATTTTAGGACCTTCGTACAACATGTCTGGTCTTTTCTTTCCATTACAATCTAGTACAGATAATGTACTTTATGTATGTGGCTCAGCAAGAGAAATCTGAATTAGCTCTGTCAATCTAAAGAAGATTTTGTCGGCATGGCTTCTTTACAATTCAACAGACATGAGTCAAGGTTCATGTCTTACATCACAGAATAAAGCAAGGCATCTCCACAGAATATCAGTTATTGCTATTCCATTTTGTAACTCCTTGGCATGAAGCCAGGATTTTCAAGTTCTGCTAAGCTTCCTGACCGAGTATCATCTTGGGAAACTTGGTTATAACTAAAATAGCTTTAAAATTCCCTTTATTTTCTAATAATTAAAACAGCATACCTTCATTACCATTGCTTAAGCTGGAATTTACTATTCTTTGCTTCAGAGCAAATTTGAGAAGGCTTTCAATATTGCTATAGTGCAAGGAGGTTGTAAGTAAAAGGATGTCAGTATTACTAGAGAGAGCAGCCAAGCAGAAGAGACAGCTAAAAAACACACTATGATTTATCAGGCTTGAACCTGGTAAAAACATCATTTATTTTAAGTGCAAGAAGAATTTGGTAGAAATGTTTTTAATATTAGTTTGCTAAACTTTCTTATGAAGGTACTGATGGCTAGTCAGATCTCAGAGCCCTATATTCAGATTTTTAACCTACCAGATCCATTACTGCAACAGACTGAGGATAAAACAAACTAGTCAGAGGGGCATGGATTCCTAGTCACAAAATTAGTAAAATTCAAGAGCATCTCATCATCAAGGTGATTGTTTCAGACAACCATCCCCTCCCCCTACAATCCATGAAACAATACCACTCACCATTGTGAGAGTGTAGAGGACAAAGTGAGGACAAGAAGTGATTGCAGAAGGAAAAGACAGAAAAAAATTGCTTAAATTTTGATTTTGGTACATGGAAAATCCATTATCTTAAATATATAATGAAGCCTGACAACTTATTGAGTTGCTTCATGTGGACTAGCATAAGAAATAGTCCATCACTCAGCAATTCTTATGCTACAGGAAACTTATGACTGTCTTTTATAATTTCATAATAGCCTCAACAAAAATTAACAATTCCACTCTGCTCTAGTGAGTGTATATTTCCCAGTTAGTGTTGTATCTTCATTTGAACACCTCTGTTCAAGTGCTCTCAGCCCGACTACTTATAAATATATATTTAACCAAGAGGGAACCTCCTATCAACTATATCACACCAAAGCCTAAGGAATATTGAGCAAGAAGATTGATTATACCAGATCAATTGAACTGATGTCTGTAAAGAAATAAAAAATAAGGTCAGGAAAAACCACATGCATTAAGGGGCTGACAAACTACTATTTCTGGATCTCCCTTAACAGTTAAATGCAGAAGAAGTTCAGCTCTTAGTTTCACAAGTTCTAAGTGCATACAGCACGATCCATTTAAAGACCTTCAATGTTTTCAAAAGCATTAATAAATTAAGCCTCAGCACCACTATGATGTAGGGAAGTGCAGACAGAGAAATGGAGACACGAAGAGGATGCCCAAGGTCACACAACAAATCAATGGCAGAGAAGTATATATAAGCCAGGTCCTTCACCTTCTATTTTGGTGCTTTAGTTACTGGAACACACTTCTGTTAATACCACTGGACAAATATCTTAAAACCATTGCCCAACAGTTTTTAAAAATGAACTCATAGTGTGACTTTATTCTGTCATCAGCACAAGTCTAATTGCAACTCTCATGTTCCTGACAGACTGCTTTTGTTACCAAAAAGACATTAAAAATGCAGAATGCCTTGAGATACATTGCACAAATCAACCAAACAGTTACAAACTTCAGAATAGTCCTTCAAGGGCTGTTATTTTCCCAAGGATAAACTTTCACAATGCAATGTTATCTTGTTATGGATAGTTGCTGTCACCATGAGCAATACAAGCATTGTATTGAAAATCTAATTTGACTAGCACTCTGGACTGTTGCCAATATCAAACTGTTGTCCAAAGTGATAACATCCAGCCTGGATTCAAGATGCTTCTTATCCCATAGCAGTGTGTAACATATGGTTTACAAAATATAAGGAAGGAAAAAAAATTAAAACTAACATGCCAAATGTCACACTAACTTTGCATACTGATCTTAAACTACAATGTTCTTCCTCCTCCAAGAATGAATGGGATTCTACGCTTGAGGAATTCAATAGGAAACAGTGTGGCACATCTTTCAATAGCCTTTATGCTTTCAAGTAGTATTCCTATTCCAAAGGAGGATCAGACCTATTTCAAACAATATCCTTGCCTGGAGTTTTTAAAAGTAGGGACAAGGCAAACTGACTGAATACATTCCTTCGCTTGGAACTCACATGTAGCATACAAATTTGTGTTTAATTACTTACAAAATTATAACGAGGATTACATTAGCCAAAGAGATCTTTCACATTTCAAAACTTTATTAAGTAGCTCAACTGAAGTCACCTTTTCTATCTCTAAAATATTTAAAATGCCCACAAATATTGCACTAACATCTACATCACAATCTGCCCTATAGAAAGATTTTTGTTTACACTGGGATTGTTTGATCCACCAGTATTTAGGTTCACAGCCAGGCAGCAAAAACTTATGGGAGGGTTGTTTTTCACGTGTTTTGTTGTGAAAAAAAAAATCAAGACCACAGTTAGATGAATTTCACAAGCATTTCTGAAAACCTGAAGAACATGTGACTATTTCAACCACACATTCAGGGGTTGGTTGGTTTTTCAGGACTAGTTTCTAGTATTTGTAGCCACTGCTTCAAAAACGCACGTCACCGACTCAAACAACATTCCCAATCGATGGAAAACATTCCCCTTTCCAAGAACTTACCGCAGATTGATGACCGCACTTCTCGGGCGGCTCTGTTACGGGAACACACACATCCAGAAGGAAAGAGCGAACCACAAACAAAAACCGGGCGCAGGGACTCGCGAAACTCTCCTCAACCCGTATTTTCCTCTTCCACCGCCGCCGCGCCAAGCTGCCCGCCGCCGCCGCGGGAGCTCAGCAAACGCGAACCCCCCAGAGGAGGCAGATCGAGAGGCAACGCGGGAGCGGAGGGCGGCGCGCGGGAGAGCGCCACATCTGTGCGGGGCTCGGGGCTCCGACCCGGCGAGCCAGAGGCGAGGGGGCGGGGAAAGGCTTCCTCGCCCCGAGGGATACACGCTCGCACTAGGCGCGCGAAGCTCGCAGCATGGCTGGGAAACGCTTCGCAACTCTCCCCTCGGCTCAGGGACCGGGGCGCCCCCCAGCAGGAGACCGGCCTCCACCCCCTGCCCGCCCGCCCCGGACCTGCTTTTGTGGCGCCTTCACTTCGTGCCTCAGATTCCTCCTTCTGTCCCTCCCCGCCCTGCGAGCGAGAGCCAGCCCCGCCGGGAAGGGAAGGGAAGAGCGCGCCGCCCGAGCGAGCGCAGTGCCCCCTCAGGAAAGCCGAGCCTGCTGATCTCATCACTACGGCTACTAATCCAATGGCCAGGGAATGAAGAACAGATGGTGACGCCTCTTCCCCCGGCACCAGCATCGCCGCCCAGACGTGGCCCCGAGCCTGCCCTGGCTTGCCCGCGGCTGGGGCTCACCCCCAAGCCAGCGTCCTGCGAGGCTACTGGGCCAGGCAGGCGCTGCAGGGCTTAACCCCTTGGGTCACTCGCAACAGCTGCATAGGACCACGCGTGACCAGTGGGGCTGGAACTAGGGGCGCACCCTCTGGGGTGAAGTAGCAATAACCAGGGCTTCGACCCGGCCGCTGGGCACTACGCGCCCACAAATATTTCCAAACCCACGGGGGAGCCATGCCAGGGGAGACTCTAGCCCTGATGCACCTCTCTTCCCCCATCTGCATGGTTAACACCTAGGGAACGTGCTCCCCCGGGGTGAGACGGGAGGGGGCCCCAGGAAACAAGCATTGCAAATTTAAATGCTGTAATAACAAACACCAAACATGCTGGCTACATCTAGACTGGCATGTTTTTCCACAAATGCTTTTAACGGAAAAGTTTTTCCGTTAAAAGCATTTGCGGAAAAGAGCGTCTAGAATGGCACAGACGCTTTTCTGCAAAAGCATTTTTTGTGGAAAAGCGTCCGTGCCAATCTAGACGCGGTTTGGCGCAAGAAAGCCCAATCGCTATTTTCACGGTAGGGGCTTTTTTGCACGAAACAATAACACGTTGTCTACACTGGCCCTTTTGCGCAAAAGCATTTGCCCAAGAGGGCTTTTGCCCGAATGTGAGCAGCATAGCATTTCCACAAGAACACTGACAATCTTACATGAGCTGTTTTTGCGGAAAAACTTGCCAGTCTAGACGCAGCCCTTCAGTATCCCCACACTAAAAATGTTCCTGGCCTGCCCGCTACTTTTCCTTGGGCACCTGAAGATTGCTGTTTGTTTAAATATACACAGCCCATGTGTGGCAGAACACTCTGCTGACATGAACTGGAGAGGTGCTGAGTGCCCCTTGCCAGTGCTCTTACAAAAGTCCATGGAAAGTAAGGGTGCGCCTGCAACCCTGAAAAATCACCCTTCAAATGTGCTGGTGAGGAATGTAATAAAGAGAAGGAATAGGAGGGAAATCTTGCAGATCTATCCATCAGATTAGGACAGCATCCTGAAAAGTATGATTAGCTATGCTTGTTTGTTAGTGCATGATATTAGAAGAGAATCCTATCTTTTTTTCTTTTCTTTAAGGAAGAATTTAGGTCTCCTGATTTGTGTAGAAAAGTAGAAAACGTGCCCTGGTTCAGCCAAAGACTTCAAACACCAGATGCCAAATAAAAAGATCCCCACGTGTATTTTTACCTGTGAGCTGAAGTAGGGATAAAAAAGGTTAACCAGTTACTTGGTAAGCATCACCCTTAACCCTTACAAGCGCACTTTGCATTGTGGTGAAGGCAGGCAGTGGCGCGCCCTATGCAGTGGCGCCTTCTGCAGCCAGGACTATGTGGGTACTGGGGGCCTGGGTACAGCTGGGTGAGTCCCCACATGCCATTTGCCGTCACCCGCTATTAGGCAGGCAGCCATGTAGTCTTGATTAAATAAACTTTTCAAACTATTTTGTGAGTTGGATTGGGGAAGTGCTTGGGCTGTAGATGACCCCTGGACTGGGAGTTTGAGACCCTGCTCTAAAGTAACATGTGATACGTACATTTTTGTAGAATCATGGCATTAGGTTTTTAGCTGCTAGAACAGAGACTGATCTTCTGATAGGCCTGTATAGCCCCTACCAAAGTTTTTTATGCTAAATAAACAAAAAATCTCCTAAATATGGCCCCAATCCTGCACTGTGATTAGTTGAAGCAAACTTTGTCACTTAGATTGCCTGTGCGATCACAATGCAAGATGTTTGTTTTCCTCCTAATATTGTTTTATTAATTTTTTTAATTAAAATGACACCCAGTGTTTTGTGATACTAATAATTGCTTTGATTCAAAACCCCATTCTATAATTTGTATATTTACCCCCCCCCCCCCACGCACACACTAGTGCCTGACTAGCAAGCTGAAATCTTTTGTTTCAGTTGCTGACTTTGCTTCTATTACGCAAGACATCTGTCACCTGCAGACCAGGTGATGGACTAGGAACCCTCAAATACAGAAAAAAAGTCCTTGAAATAATACACAAATTAAGGTTTAAAAGAACTCTTCCTTGAATGTTGATAGAATAGAAATTCAAAGGGGACTTTTTGTGGATTTTACTGTATTAGGGATCTACCGGTAAGCTGTTTTTGTTGCTGCTGTTGCTTTTAAGAATGACATTTTATCCTTCTGGTGATGATAACTTTCCCAGTGTAAACTAATTCATTTTTTTTTAACTAGAATCTCTGGCCAGGCAATCTGAAACAAAAGCAACAAGAATGTGAATTTCTTGCTTTCATCTGAATTGAGTGTTAAACTTTAAAGTTTGGACTGACCATTGAACTACCAAACTATTACTCCTTTGAAAGGATGTTTCAGCGCAACAGGGTTTCAGGTTCTGTACTTGCAAACTAGGGATGTGAAGGTTTAACTGGTTAAATGGTTGTATTAAGGCTAAGGTTAACCAGTGGGGCTGGAGCAGTTCCCTGCCTGCCACAGTCAAATGGATGCCCCAGCCCTGCAGGGGGCCTGCTGCGGACAGGGGTGCTCCAGTGCAGCCCCCTCCAGCAGCAGGCCAGGGCACTCCTACAGCCAGGGGCTGCTCTGACCAGGACTCCAGCGCAGCCCTGAAGAAATCCTGGCCCACTGCAGGCAGAGCTGTGCTGGTGTCCGGCTGGTGGGGCATGTTCCCAGTGGAGGCCATGTTCAAAGGATCCCACCTGCGGGCCACATGTTGAGACCTGCATAAACCCAAACCACACTGTGGGCCACAAACAGGCTGCGGGCTGCATGCGGCCCATTGGCCGCATGTTGAGTAGCCCTGATCTATATAATCACTCCCATACAACCAATTAAATGGTTACATGAAAATAAGCTGTATAATAAAGGTGATAATCCTGCAGTTTCCTCTCATAGTACAATGATCTAGGAGTCTCGGAATGGCACAGATATGTGATAGTAGATATTTATAGTGTGTGAAATCAAAATGGCTGAGAATTTAAAACTTGTGTGGACAGCCGCAGACTGCAAATCCCAGTGATGATTGTGCCTGAGAATATTCAGAACCAAATAACCCTGTCTTGTAGCTGTTTCCATCACTTTACACTGACTCAGACATTCTATGCTTCAGGGTGACACACAGTGAAAATCCAGCAGTCTTATTTGGGAGATGATTCATATCACAAACTGGAATTGTGAAACAGTTGCAATGTAAACTGTGGGACAGACACACAGCCTTCAAAACAAATGCTCCGGAACTCCCACAAATGTTTTTAAAAAGCAAATAGAGTTATATTAAGCCTGTAGCTCCCCTCTTCCAAAACCCAATTCTCTACCACATCAGTGACCCATAGAGATGAATGAGCAGAAGATATAAGAACCAATTGGCACTTTAGCCTTCTAGATTTGAAAAAAGTGTAAGTATTTCCTTTGCCTTCAACTCAATAACCAGCAACAGGCCTTTGTGAGGCATGCTACAACCCTGAAGTGAAACATTTCTTAGGGAGGTTAAATTTCAGTTAATCAGCTAATCCAATAGTGGATGAAATTTCCATGGATTAGTCGATAAGGGGGATGCTCGCTATCCCGCTGCGTGTCTGCATTTCAAATGTACAAGACCCACCTGTGGCTCTTGTATATTTCAAAGGAAGAGGCGCAGCAGGGAACCCGGGCGAGTGGGGACCAAAGAAGTCCCAGCTCATGCAGAATCCTGACTGCTATGCTTCTCCCTTTGAAATGTACAAGAGCCACCCACAGCTGTGTACATTTCAAGGGAAAGGCATAACTGTTGGGACACCATGTGAATGGAGACTGAAGTAGTCCCCACCCACAACTCTTGTACATTTCAAAGGAAGAGGTGCAGCAGGCAGATCCCCGTGCGAGCAGGGACTGCTTCAGTCCCCACTCACACCATTTTCCCCCACCGCACCTCTGCCTCTCCCACTCCCTCTCCCCCACCCCTCCATCCGGAGACAGTGATGGAAGCAACCAGCTTTTAAGCCAGCTCCCCCCAGCACTGGCTCCTGCTCCCCTCCTTGGTGCTTCTGATACAGAGGTAGCAAAGGGGGGAGAAGTGACTAGTCGAGTAGTCACCTACACTTATCAGGTAGTCGACAAAATGCTTACATCCCTAGTTTCTGTCCCAGATCTTAAATTCCATTGAAATCAAAGCAAGGTAGTAGTCTAAATACCTCTAAAGGTCTGGGTTTTGTGATCACTACTGTTAGTTTAGTCACTGTACTCAAATTTCACTTCTCTGGCTTGACAAGAAAATACTTTAAATGGAACTGTTATTTTTCTGAAGATATGCCCTTTCACAGTGCAGTATTATCTTGTAAGATAGATGTGTATATGTTTTTAGATCATATGTTCTTCAGTGCAGGGACCATGCCTTCTACTGCATTTGGGCTGTGTCTAAAACAATGGGGCTCCAATCCTAATTAGGGACTCGGGATGCTACTATAAAACTCAATTCAACTTCTTCCCTTTTATCTTCCCAGATATTCTTGAGCACGGAGATCTGAAACTCAAACAACTGAGAACAATCAGGCAGCAGAGAGATTTGGCCAGCACAATGCACATGCAAGACTTTTACTTGAGTATATAAAAAGTGATACTACTGCCTGTACTGGTTACCAAGGCCTTACACAAATATCTAGATAGAAATGAGAAATCCTTTTGCCTATGTCTAGACTAGGGGGAAAACAGGTC